GCACCTTTGAGTGAGCTGTAGAATTTCTTCTCTCTCTAGACTGGCTCGCTCTGTGAGGTAGCTGTCAATAGCTCCATTGTACACAGAGTTAAATGCCCATCCAGGGCTACAAATGGGGGAAGAGATAAAGTCAAGACACCTAGACAGGTATGGCTGATTTTAATGCCAGTTCTATTTCTCTCCCTGGATGTGTGAGGAAAGAGACCTAGGCAGTAAAACCTCACAAGGCTCCTTTCTCCTCCACTCCAGGTCCCTCTCTCCATCATCAGCCCCAGGTGTGTCCTTTTCTACAATGAAGCGTCTTGGCCTTAGGACAGTCACAAAGAAAAGTAGTGGCAAAACTGGGCCTGGAAATCATGTTCTTGTCACCCTCATATGACCCAAAGCCCAACTGCCTCTGAGCACTTCTGAGATGGCAACAGTGTAATGCTTTGATGCAAGCCTGCATATCCATAGATTTGGGGAACAGAACTCAGAGCCCATTCTCAGATGGAATTGGAGGGAGTGTGAGGAATTAACATGGAGTCCCAAAGGCTATGAGAGAAGCATTCTTAACCAGCTTAAGTAGTCAGCCTTTCCTGTATGTTTATCTTTTTCTTTCTCTATCCTATTGTACTTCTTTGTCTCCTCTGTCACAGCCAGCCTGGCTCTCATTACCCTCAGCAGACCACAGACAACTGCTGACTCACTGTGTTTGCTAAAGGGAAGCTCACAGAGGCAGAGGACAGAGCTGGGGAGGATGGGGGCTCAGGCAGGCCCTGGGGGTGGAGGGAGAAGAAGGAAAATTAATCAACACAGTCAAAGGGGATGACAGAAGCCACTCTCATATCAACGGTACACATTCTTTTCAAAAAGAGGAGCAGGAAAAGGGAGAAGCATCCAGTATAGCGGATGCAAAGAGGATTCTCACAGGTAAGCAGTCTGCAAAGGTGAGCTGGAGCTGGAGGCCAAGTACCTTTCCAGACCAGTGTTTCTCACAGATACACACACAGACACATTGACTTTGAAGTGACACAGATCTCAGAGATTAAATTCAACCAGCCTTCTCCCCTGCTTTCCCAGTCTCCAGATGTGAAAAGAAAAGCCTGGACAAGTGACACGAGTTGGCTAGGGTCACACAGCAAGTTGGCAACAGATCTGTGATAGAGCTGCTGTTCCACGGACTCACTCCACCGACCCTACCATAGTAGCTTAGCTCAGCCACAACTACTTCTCTCCCTCCTTATCCCTCACTTGAGTGCTTCACAGACATTCACTAATTTTAGTACTCAGAACAACCCCAGAGGGACTTAATCCTCATTTTGCAGATTAGCAAACAGTGCACTGTGGGATTGACTTACGTGCTCAAGATGGCACTGCTAGTAAGTGCTGGGCTGGGATCGGAACTCAAGCAGCCTGTTGCTAGAATCCATGTTCTTAATACTCTATCTACTCTGATGTTTTCCCATTCCAAAGGGTTCCCCTGTCTCCTCCAGCTCATATTTGCATTGTGAACTCTTCCCCCTAGAATAGTGAAAACTGAAAGTCCTCAACTAGTGGCCACAGTACAAGAAACACCAAAGAAATGCTGCAGCCCCTTCCTGGAGGACCGTGGTATCTTCAGAACTGGACACAGGGCTCTACATTCCTTTTTCTGGAGTAGAGCCTTTGCTTGCACCAAGTTCACTCTCTGTGCTCAACAACCAACCAGAGCAGCAGCAGCAACGCCAGCAACCTTGACAGCATCAAACACAGTATCGAGAATGCCTTCCCTGTGATCCTGCCAAAGAGGGCAGGGTAACTTGTGTGTGTCCATGAAATCTAAAGCATTACCTCTTCCCTAGTCCTGCAAACCCTATCCTTGCTGTATTTTCCTTCTTAGCATTTATCTCCATCTAATATATTAAGCGGGAGCTCTGGTAGCATAGTGCCTAAGGCACTTGACTGCTAACCAGAAGGCTGGCGGTTCAAACCCACCAGCCACTCCTCAGAAGGAAGATGGGGCAATCTACTTCTGTAGTGATACTGCCTCAGAAACCCAAGGAGGGGTCACTATGAGTCGGGTCCGACTCGATGGCACATAACAACAACAACAACAACAATATATTAAGCACCAAGCTGTTAACCCAAAGGCTGGCAGTTTGAACCCACCCAGTGGCTCCATTGGAGAAAGATCTGGTGTCATAAAGATGACAGCAGAGAAAATCCTATGGAACAGTTCTGCTCTGTCACACAGAGTCACTCTGATTTGGAATCGACTCCATGGAACCTAACATTGATTTATTTATATTTTAATGTAACAAAAACTTACAAGCTGTGTGAGGGTAGGTTTGTTTTGTTTTTGCAGTCTTGTGTTAGTTTGTGTTCCAAGTGCCTGGAAGAGTGCCAGACATGGGATTGTTTCTGGCTGCTGTGGAATCAATCTTTGAATCACGGTGACCCCAGGCACAATGGAACAAAACGTCACTGAGTCCCATGTCATCCCTTTGTTGGTCTGCAGACTGGACTGCTGTAATGCATAGGGTTTTCACTGGCTCTTTTTCAGAAGTATATTGCCAAGCCTCCCTTCCTCGTCTGTCTCAGTCCAGAAGTTCTACTGAAACCTGTGCAGCATCAGAGCAACACGCAAGTCTCCACTGACAGACAGGTGGTATCTGTGCATCAGGGGCGTTGGCCAGGAACTTACCCTGGGTCTCGCGCAGGGAAGGAGAGGACTCTACCACGAAAACACCACGATCTCATTGCCAGACATGCAGTCAGTGCTTAGTGAACACCAGGGCAATGGAAGGAAGGGAGAAAAGGAAGCAGGGAGGGAAGCAAAGAAGGGAGGAAGGGAGAGAGGGAGGAGGGAGGGGAGGGCTCCCTAAGGAATACCAAAAAGAAAACAAACTCACTGCCCTCAAGTCGGAGCTGACTCATAGAGACCCTTCCTTGGCAGAGAGTGTGGGAGAAAAGGCTGAGAAGATTTTTTTTTTTTTTTTAAAGGAAAGAATGTAAAGAAAAGAGAGAATTAAAAGAATGACAAGGAATAAAGAGAAGGAGGCAGGGGCATACCAGGGAAGGAACAAGAAAGGAAAGAATAGAAATTGAAAAAAAATAAAAAGACTAGGGAGAACAGAAACAAGCAAACCCAGGTGTCCCGGTTCCCTGGAGCCGCTCTGACAGGAATATACCACAAATGGGATGGCCTTCACAAACAGGAGTTTATTACAATTTGGAGGCTTTAAATCCAAGTACAAAGGGCCAGGCTCTAGGGGCTGGGTGAAAGCCCCTCAACCTTGGGGTCCAGTTTGCCTCCTGCTCCCAGCCCACTGGAGCTAGAGGCGTTTCTTCACTCAGACAGCTGCTGGCTGCTGAGGCTGAGAAGCCCCGAGGTTGACAAGGAAAAACGCACAGTCCCGATGTTACCAATCCACACAGCAGGCCATTAACTTAAGTCCGCTGTAAGTCTCAAGCCTCAGTAGAGCATAGCAGGCTGCTGAGCAATGACATGGCTACATGCAGGGTCCCAGCATGCCACAGGATCGAGACCATTCCCAAGGCTTCTCCTTCTATACAGGAAGCAGACCACATCCCAAAGGCAGCTACTCAGCTGCTTGTGGTAGCTCCCATCACGGAGTTGACTGCCAGTCTCCTCGTGGGGATTAACTACCACCAGCTGCCCAGCCACTCAACCAGGCCCAGCCAAGTTGACACACAAACATAACCAGCACACCAGGAGCCTGAGGAGGAAGAGGAAGATGTGGCAGAATGGAGAGGCAGAGGAACAGGGCAGCACTCAGTGGAACGTAAGTGGAGAGGAGAGAAGGAGCAAACAGTTTGGCATTCAGCTGGCAGGAGGGCCAGCACGAGAAGCAGCCCCGCACGCTCTCTACCTTGAAAACAGAGCCAGCCCTTCTTCCTCCCACTTCTGTGCACAGGTGGGAGGCCCATATACTCTGCCACATGCCTTGATCAGCCGACTGCATGCTTGCAAGCAGATATTAACTTTCCAGTTGGGGGTCAAAGCACATGGATGTGCCCCTAATTACTAGCATGGAATACATGTTTGTACCCCAGGTCCTCATGCAAGAAGGCAATCTCCAACTGCTCCTTTTGCAGTTACTCAGTAACTTTGCAGCACTTCTCTGAATGCAACGTCAGCTGCATTCCATCGTGTGCCCCTGAACCCGACGTCCCCTTGGTTCTCCCAAAGCTGACTCCCCCTGTGAATTTGCCTTCACAGGAGATTGTGTGAAGTAGGCTATATTTTCCCTGCAGAACAAGTTTAATCACGAGAGAACTATGAACTTGGGCACCAGGCTTAGCCCTTACGGAGTTCAGCTTCAGCATTTTTCTATCACCTATTACATTGAGTGTTATTGTGAGGAATCATTATTCATTGATACTTATTTTATCCCTTGAAGACAATGTCTAGAAAGTCATACTGTGTTCTATTTATAGGAACCAACCGGAGAACTTCTCCTCTGTTCTCAGTATCAGATAAATAGATTTTCCTGAACAAATACTGGGTTCTATGCCACGGGCCCTGAATATTATACTGATAAGCATGTTTCCTTTTCTGCACCTTGGCTGCTAGGAAGCTCCTTCTAAGAATCCACAACACAGTATGGCAAGAATTCACTTGCACTGAGCTAACCTGAACTTAAACCATTTTCCTTATTCATATTTTCCTTTCAAACTGATTCCCTTAGTTACTTCATTTCCTGTGCTGAATTTCTTTTTAAAAATATGCATACAATTTAAAGCACTGTTCCAAAGCCTTTGAGGAATGAGGTGGGAGGAAAGTAAATAAAAAATGGAGGGGGCAAAGGGCATAATGAAGGTCAGCAGTGTAGTCAGCCCAGATGCTGAGCGCAGGACCAGGTTGAAAAACAGATTTAGTGCTTGCCATTGCACTGAGTCGGAATCAGTTGGACAGCAAGGGGTTTACTGGGTGCAAATCCTGTTTCCAAGGCTTTCCTACTACAAACTGTAGTTCCAAAACCTTCCCAAGGCAACATGGACTCAGACCTTCATACCTTTGCTGCGGCGCCGGCTGCGGTACTGCTCCGTGTAAAATGTCAGCTGTGTTTCATCGTCTGCCTCTGACCCCGATGTCCCTTTGGTTCTCCCAAAGCTGATCCCACCTGCAAGGAAGCAAAAGCCATCAGTCATCCTCTCAGGCCTCCAGCAGCCTTTTAAATCCCTCAGCCATACCCAAGATCAGCAACTACAACCCCACTTCTCTCTGTAAATCTCAAATGGCCCAGAAGGCCATGTGATGATTGGAAAGCTTTCAGGCTCCACAGTAAGGCACATCTGGGTTCCACCCATGGCTTGACAGCATCCTGGCTTCATGCGCTTGAGGAGACACCCCACCTTGCTAAGCCCTGTAAGCTTTATTTCCAAATAGTGATAATAACTATTAACCTAGAAGGGTTGGTTTAGAGAAGATATGATAGACACAATATCTGGTCCATGGTAAGTACTAAATAATTGATAGCCATTCTTGCTATATGATGAGCCTACCTCTAATACAATACTCCAGGCAACATAATCTCACAAAACTTTCAGACAAAGGCTTACTATATGCCAGGCTTGGAGCCAGACACCAGGGAAACAAAGATAAATATGGCCCAGTCCTTGCCAGCCAGGAGCTCGTAAGCTAGGCAGAGGGAAAAATGGGATCCTAAGGAACCTTAAACCTAATTCATGGCTTATGTTTACCATGCACTGTGGCACTAGGACTATGAAGGGGAGTGCAAATCATTGCAACAAGGAGGATCTGGGAAAGCTTTATGGAGAAAGGAAAATTTACAGCTTTATGGAGAAAGGGCTTGAAGGATGGATGGGACTTCAGAGGTAGAAAAAGGCCTTTAAAGAGAGGAAACAGCCCAAGCAAAGGCCCGGGATGGAGAATGTGAGGCTCCATCAAGTTGAGGGCTGGATGGGAAGGATAACTAGAGCCACATATGGAGGGGTCCTGAATGCCAGATTGGGGACAGGAAGCTTTACATTGCACATCATAAAAGCTCCTGAGCAAGAGAATGAGTTGATTAGCTGTGTATACCAAGGACATCCCAATGGCACACAGACCTCCAAATGGGTTCTAAGCAGGGTGAGCATTTAGAAGGCTCAGTGATAACCACGTGAGAACAGATCAAGGCCAGGATGAGGGCAGGGGCAGCGAGTTGGGGAGAAGTGATGGGTTCAAGAGGTGCCTCAGAGACAAACTCAGAGGCCCATGGAGGAGAAAAGAGTAGTACATTCATATGTCTTGAGTTTATTACCAAGACAGATAAAGAAAAATGGCTAGAAGCAAATATAACAATGTTGTTGTGGTTGCTAGCTGCCATGGAGTCAGCCCCAACTCATGGCAACCCCATGCACAATGGGATTGACCACTGTGATCCACAGGGTTTTCTTTGGCTGGGTTTTTAGAAGTAGAGTACCTAAGTTTTCTTCCAAGTCCATCTTAGTCCGGAAGCTCCACTTAAAGCTGTTTAGCATCATAACAACACACCAGCCTCCATGACAGAGGGGCCACAACTGTGTAAGTCGTGCATTGGCCAGAAATCAAACAGGGTCTCCTGCATGCAAGGTGAGAATTCCTCTGCTGACCCGCCAACGTCTGGTCTGCCATCTTAATAGTCGTCAATTAGGAAGGGAAGGACCTGGGCAGTCTTCTATCTTCATCTTTGTTCTTTTCTTAATTTGTAGTTTATTTAATTTTAAGAACAAGATAGGGAGAGACAGAGAGAGAATCAAGAACCGGCAAACTCTTTCTCCAGAGAGGAAACAGCAAGTGAAATGCATGCTGAGGGGGTGAGTGGATGGGCAAGGCAGAGCAAGGACTGTGGGCCATGGGGCTTTAGGCATTGACTTGAATAGACTATCTCTGGGAGGAGACTTGAGAAGCTTACAGAAGTGGTTGCTTGGATGAAGAATTAAGTGGCTAGAGGACAGACATGGAAGACAGACCACTTTTCACTATAAGTCCTTTGTATCTTTTGAATCAAACACCACGTGAACATATTACTTATTAAAAAAAAAAAAAAAATTCCACCTGGGGAAGAGAAAACCGTACTCTGGAAATGTTATGTTATTCAATTCACCAAAGGGTTTACTATGTAATTTCTTCCAGTAGGGCATTAGGAATAGCTTTCAGCATGCAACTACTCTTTCTTTAATGGAGTTATTTCACATAATTCATCCCAGCAACATTTTACTATTGAGCAATCTACTATGTGCTTACAATTCTCATCAAGATATAAGGGAGGCACTGCTGGTTCAGTGGTAAAGTAATTGCCTTCGATCCTGAAGACCCAGGTTTGATACTCAGCCAATGCACCTCAAGTTCAACCACCATCTATCAGTGTTGCTATGATGCCTAACAGGTTTTAGCAGAGCTTCTAGACAAGGACAGGCAAGAAGAAATGCTGACTACTTCCCCAATTCAGCCAGTGAAAACCCTATAGAGCAAAGATCTGACCCCACTGGGAATGGGGTCACCATGAGTCTGGGGCTTACTGGACAAAGGCTAACAACAACAACAATTAACAAGCTAGATGATAAAAGAAAGACTTGTTTGGCACAAGTACTTGCCTAAAGTCACACAGCTCATAAGTAGGAGAATTAAGACTCAGGGGATGTTCTGTCCAGCTCCAAACTCTCCAGCATACAAATTGCTTTTCTGGAAACAAGTCATGAGAAGGCCTTGGAAGAACAGATTTGTTCTTCCAGTTCCAAGATGCTATGCACTGTGGTATGAGCTTTGTATATATTGTGGCATTCCAAACTCATGTTATCCCTGGAGGGTATTATTGTTCCCATTTTACAAAAGAGGCAACTGAGGTTCAGAAGAGAAAAATGATTTTCTAACCAGGTGTGACTGATGCCCAAACTCATATTTTTAAGCATAAAATGACACAGACTTGTGGGTTATACTGTTCCATAAAATGGACATATTCATACCTGACCCCCTTCCTTTCTACAGTGTGTTCTACTGGATGGGAAAGTATAAGGGACAGCAACATTTACCTTTCCTCCAAAATGTGCCCTCAGCCATGCTCTGTCCCTGCTTTCCTGCAAACCCTGCCCAATCCCTGCCAGCTACATAAAGCAGGAGTGGAGCCAGCAGGAGACTCCAGACTCCAGCAGAAGCACTTCCCGAGTTAAAAGCTCACATTGGAAAAGGAGTTGGCAGGGATCCCACAGAACTTCTGGAAGAGGCATAAGAGCAGAGGTCCCCAGAGGCCAATACGGCTTTTTAAATTGCTATTACAATATTTTACTGTTACTGAAAAAAAAAAAAAAAAGAAAGAAAGAAAGAAAGGAGAGAGAAAAAGCAGGAGGGCAGATTTTGTTCATCTAGGTTCAATTCTTGGTCAAAGGGAAAAAGGAGGGACTCTGATAACATAGTTCTATGTACTGGGGACATCTGTCATACTTCCTCCTAGGTTTGGGGCAGTAGAGGCAAAGGGGAGGGGAGGTGTCTGCCTTGTTAGGGGTCCACCCCAGGCACTTCCCATCCCCTTTCCTGTCAACTACATCCTTTTAAACATTCCTGCTAAAACCTCCATTCCTCCTTCCTTCCTAAGTTCCCTCCTTTCCCAAACAGATCCATTTTTTCAGGATGAACACGGGGAGTCATGATTCTTGCCCCACTGGGGCAGGTGAGAGGGCATAACAAAAAAGTCAACAAGCACTTCTAGTATAATCATAAAGGTAAACACTTATATAGTACTGCCTATTTTCTAGACATTCTAAACTTTTGCATGTATTAATTTATTTCTTACAACAATCCCAGGAGATAGGCTACTACTTTTATTTCCATTTTAATAGATGAGGGAAAAAGAGGAAATAGTCATTTGCCCAGAGTCACATATCTTATAAGTAGTACAGCCACCATTTAACCAAAACAGTGGCTTCAGAGTCTATTCCCTCAGTCTCTAAGCCAGTGGACAATAAAATATGGTTAAATACCTTATTTAAAGCACACAACAATCCTTCAAAGAAAGGCATTATCAACCTTGTTATACAGGTGAATAAACTGCACATCAGGAGCCCTGGTAGCATAGTGGCTAAAGCACTTGACTGCTAACCAGAAGGCTGGCGGTTCAAACCCACCAGCCACTCCTCGGAAGGAAGGTTGGGCAATCCTACTTCCGTAGTGATACTGCCTCGGAAACCCAAGGAGGGGTCGCTATGAGTCGGGGCCGACTCGACGGCACATAACACAACAACAACAAACTGCACATCAGAGAGGGGACAGGAGGTAGCAAGTGGCACAGTTGGGACTGAAAGCAGGTCTGTCTACCTGCAAAGCCTGTCTCGTAGCTAAAGTTACCTGGGAAAGTGTGTGTGCTCACATGTGAGTGTGTAGTGGGGAAGGGGTGGCAGAGACTTGGAGACTTGACCACTAAGGAGTAACAACACATCTCTCAAGGCCCGATGCTGGAGGCCAGGCACGCTCTCTACCTCTCAATGCTTCTTCTCTGAGCCTTGTGCAAATTCCTAGAACTCTAATCAGGCCAAGCCAGGTCCGGAGGGGTCCTCCGTCATTCCACGCCTCCAGGCACACAAAGATCATGCCCATGTAGCTGACATAAGAACTCCCTGTCCAAGTCCTCCCTCCAATCCACACACTCTCTGACCTTCACCTCTCTCCTGTATTAATGCACCATTTTTAGAGTGGAAACTGAGGCTCACAGAGGATGTCTCTAGACCAGCCTGTCAAAGAAAGACAACGCAAGCAGCACATGCAATTTTAAATGTTCTAGTAGCTACATTAAAAAGGGAAAAATAAATGAGTGAAATGAATTTCCAGGATATATTTTACCTTCACTAATAGGTCTAAAATACTATTTTAGCATGAAATTAACATAAACATATTATTACTGACATTATTTTACATTCCTTTTTTTTTTTTTTCCCCCACAATGAGTTTTCAAAATCCAGTGTGCATTTTGGGCTTACGTTAAATCTCAATACCGACTAACCACATCCTAAGTGCTTCTGGCAACACTCATACAAAAATATTATTGAGTACTCTTAAGGGCCAGGATCTAAGAACAGGAGAGAAAGACAAGTAGGTCATAGGTCCCATGAAGCTGTTAAATTTTTGTAAATATGATGAAAATGAAAT